GAGCTGTGTAATCCAAGAGCTTCATTTTCAACCTTAGCCGCTGATGTCTTTTAAACTGAACTAACATTGTTCACTTTTCTTATTGGAAACACTTCAGAGAGTTTGTCAGATAATCAGTGCACCAACAATAACCTCTCTGAATCACCAAAATGTTTTCCTTTTTATGCCTTAATTGAGAGTATTTGATTCATTTTAGCTTGTCAGCATTACCTATGCAAAAGGTTGATTTTTTTTATTTTTATGGAAATGACGCATATTTCTGACATTGATATTCAGGGGGAGTTTTTTCTTTCAATTACTAGCTCATGCAGGATTGTGTTGGTGGTGTTGATGGGCAGCAACAGTTTTTGCATTTTTTGTCATTTTTCCCACTGCCAAGAAGAAAACTTTGCAAAAATGTCAAGCTGTTCAGAAGAAAACAGCAACATGCACCATCCATCGACTGACAGCCTGACAGGCAGCGATTACGCCACGTTGAAGTTTTGAGTTGAATTCCCTTTGCCAAAAATAGTTGAATATGGATGATGGAACAAAAAATATATAAAAAAAATCACACACTAAAATGCTGTTTACTGAAAGGAGGCATTATCTTAAGGGATCAGATTTGAAAACATCGTCTGTATAATTAGGTACTGAGGTATTTTTCTCTAACATGGCAGCAACAGATGGACTTCAGCAGCTGCAGCCATCTATCAGCTTTAACGCAACAAATACTGGCTTTGCCACAGGATCTGCAAAGCCTCATGGAGAACAAGTGTGGGTTGGTTTCCATGGTGAGCAAAGCTAATCAGCCATTTCTCATCTCGTTGAGTGACACAAACTGAACTCAGAATCCCCTTGAAATACAGGGCGGAGGCATTAACTGAGATAACAGTGTCTCTCTTTACCTTGACCCCGCTGGCGAACCTCAAGCATTAAACACCTCCCATGTGATTCAGAAATTAGATGATTACCACCTCGCCTTAATTCGCCATTTCAACATGAGACAGAATGAGCAGCACGGTGTAATTGCCCTTGTCTAGTGTGTGAGATTGTTAGCATTCCGACAGAAAAGAGACAGCAGGCCTCCTTCATTTGCCCCGCGATGAAACTCGTTCTCGGAATATACAGCAAGGTAATTGAGCGATGAATTACTTTTTGCACCAGTACCACTCAATGACACTGATTCTGCGGTGGTAATATATTTTCTGCCCCTTTGTGGTAATTTATCCTCACAGTGATATCCTGTGGAAAATGAACATCTCCTTCTTTATCAGACCAAACAAACTTTCCAAAACCATTTTCTCTCGTTTCTCTCACTGTGAGGCTCAGAAGAAAGTTGGCTGCGTCCATTCTAGATTCTCATTATGTCAAGTCACGTCTCTTGAGTTTGGCTTGTGATTGCGGTGATTCCCTAAAGAGAAGAAAATAATGAGTTTCCCCATCAAGTAATGCGATCGGTCGTGGTTAAACCTATTTCTCCACAAATATGATTATATGTGCAATAATTGAGAAGAAATCTCTACATCGGATTGTTCTGATGGGAAAAAGAAAAATACATTTATGGCTGATAATTGAAGTTTGACAAAGAAATTGACTCGAAGGAAAACAGACAGTTTATTTGAAGACAAAGGAAATAAGGATTCATAAAGTTCCGTTTGTAACTTTACATACACTGATTATAAATTGTACATGGACTGTACTTATGTAGCACCTTTCTATCTAAGATATTCAAAGCGCTTTACAATACAACCTGTGCCCTCATTTACCCATTCATACAGCACTCTACTAGTCTACGAAGCTAATCTGAATCTGTAGCGACTGCTTTATCGCATTCATACAACGATGGGACACACATCGGCAATGAGGGGTTCAGTGTCTTGCTCAGGGATGCTTCAACATGTGACTGCTGGTGGAATCAAACCCCCAACTCTCCCATTGGAGGACGACCGCTCTAACCACTTGGCCACAGCTGCCCCAGATACATAAGTTAATGACAGAGAAGGTCCAATTGCTCAGCTGGTATCTGGAATCGGGTAATTTTTATTTTTACTGGTAAAAGGCTCCCCAGAAAATGAAATGTATTCTTTTCTGGCACATGAACCCACAATACCCAAATGACAATCAAATATCTGACTTTATTTTGAGTGAGTGAACCCACCAAAGCTGCGGTATTAGCATGTGGATTTTTTTTTTTTTTTATGAGTGAAAAAGACTAAAGCTATATTACCAATCTGTAAGGTGTTTAAAGGTAGTCAGAGGTAGCATAAGACATGTGGGAAGTGACTGATGGGAAACAATTTTCTTCAGAAGTGTCTGCAGCTCATTTCACTGCTCAGCAGCGCATAAGCTGAAAGTTTACACTAAAGGACCAGCTGTTGGAAATCAGAATTGGAACAGACAGGTCAGAGGTTTACAAATGTTGACCATCATAACCTACCATCTCTAGTTCAGTTTTAACTATGGATTTTATGACAACTAGACAGTCAAACCTCTACGTGCAGCATTTCTAATATTTAGTTGTACTTTAGACAAGTTGACAGAATTCTTTAGCCATCAACAGGCTTATTGAAGGATTTGACAAGATATTTGGATAACCTCTTTTTTTTAGGATACATTAGTTGTTGATACTTATAATGCAATGATAAAGTACAATGTTATATACTAAATAAATAGGTTTACAAATGCTTATTGTGCTTACGAGGTAGTAACTTAGTCTGAAATGTTTAACAAATCTAGATGAAATATATAGGCGAACAGATTTGGCAAGAAACTGGTCAGTTTAGTCTCAGTCACCCTTAATTAATGCATAATAAGAAGTTAATGATTTATAAAGTGTTTATAGAGGAATTAATAATGTATCTATAAACTATTTATTAGCCATCTATAGGGGGAGCCTTATTGTAAAGTGGTACTGATTTGTTTGTCTCCAGTAAACAATTCATAAGTTTGAAATACTTTTTAAAGGACTTTTTTTTATGTATCTAGTTATAATCTAAGAATTTGTGCAAATATATTTGATGGTTTTGGTGCGACAAACCCAATTAATGTCAATTAAAATACCAAATCTTATTATTGTTTTATGATTTACATTAGTCGCTTGAGAAAAAGCTAAGTATAAAAAGTTGAGTTAAATCAGTTGTTTTGGCATTTAAACACCTTGTGCACCACAGGGATATTCAAAGTCTATTTTACATGGAAAAATAAAACTAAAAAAAGCACTTGCGGGGGTTTCACGGTGTACACAACACAACACCAGCAAACAAGAAAAACAAACAGGATTGGGGAAATTTTCATTTTATTTTATTCTTTCAAACCTGTAAACAAAAAAAACAAACTTATCTTAATTCAAACCTAAAAAACAACAATAAGCTGAGAATTATAGGCAACTACAAAGAGCAGAAGGCAAAGTAAGTGCAGTGTCACAGTAAAATCACAGACAACCCCCTTCTGTTAAAAACGCGATGCTTATGTGGAGGATTCTGAAATAAAAAAAGCACCTCTTGTTTATGTTTATCAAATTAAATTGTTTTATCATCTGAAAGACAAAAAGGGTGGTCTTTGTAATTTGTCAGAGAAAACAACCCAACATAATAAACCAAAGCTTTCCAAACATTCAGTAAAACAGTAAACTGTACAAAATACAAAATAAGCAAAAGTAAAGCTCAATAATCCAGGTAAAAAAAATCCAACAAAGTTCAGTCAGGTCATCTGGACAGCTTCTCTTTTGTTGAGACATTTCGTCCTTCATCCATTCCCACTCCCACGGGGGAGAGGGCGGGCCCCAGAAACCATTTTATTACCAGCAAACTGGTTGGTCCATTATGGGAGTGTGCTGCTTGTGGGACCGAGTTGGTTTGTGGCCCGTTGGACTGATGAAGTCCTTTGGATGAAGGTTGAAACGTCTCTACAACAAAAACTGTCCAGATGACCTGACTAAACTTTGTTTAAAAAATAAAAATAAAAATTTTTAAAAAAAGCTTTGCTTTTTCTAAGAAATGACTGAGCCCAGTTCCATTACTTGGGTTGGTCAAACGTATTTCTAAAGCCTGAAAAAAAAAATGCTTCACTGGGCTCAAAATCTCCTAATCTAGACTGCAATGTGAATTTTCCATTAAAGAAAAGCATAATTGGAAAATATCCCCAATGATTAAAGAAAAATCCTCATTTCTCTATGGATTTGAGCCAATATATAACTTTAGTCACAAAGAAAAGGGGATTTAAATAGCCTTGAGTGAAACTGACAACAGAGTGGTGTAACAAAAGAGTCTTTATATTCTTTTTTGTGTACATTTCACTACACGGGGATGTACACTTCAACCTGCCAGGACAATATCTATAAAGCAACCAGTGATGGAGAACAAAATGAAACCTGCAAACAGACAGCTCCGGTCTATTTGAGGCATAAAAAGCTGTTCGGAGCCACAGGAGCTGTTGATGCATGTTATGGCTTTCGCTTGACAGGTAGAACCCATCTATACAAGACATTTTCAGCAGGCTCGCCATTTTCTGGTCAAAATTGAAATAAAAAAACAAAAAAGCATATTTTGGTGTCACAGACAGTGATGCAAATTACAAATCCAGATTTTTTTTCACTGTCCTTCAACACAAATTGACAGATGGCTGACAGGAAAACATGTTAAAATTCAAGAATGTCTCGGCACTTTGCAACCCTTGAAGAACAAGAAGGAGAAATGTTTTCAGGCATTAATGTAAGACAGAAAGAGCAAGCTTCATTTTATGGCAGATCTTCCTTCTTGGGCACTTCTTTTGCACGCTACGCACGAGTAAAACAACACGTAAAGTTTATAAAGTACAGGTAAACAAAATGTAGTCAGCTTCTATTCAATTTTAAAGGCAAGGTTTATCAATTTCTAGTTTATCAGAAATGTAAAAAAAACTTTGGGATACAACAACAACAACAAAAAAAATTTTTTTTAGGGTTTTCTGAATAATGATGTAACATGAAAGAGTGTAACACATCAATGAATAAGATGGCATGTTCACAGCCATCCCTTGTTTTCCTGTTTATTGTTCACGCTCCATAATTGAAAAGGCTGTTATTTTTAATTCAGAGGCTTCGCCAAGAAGCCAGCCTCACATCGATACACAGAACTGAAAAGCAGAACAACAGTCTGTGCTAGAGGGGCTTTGAGGAAAAAAGTGAAATGAAAAACAAAGAATGATATCACACAGATTTGTCTTCGAGTTTCATGTCACCGCGTCCGACTGGGTCAATCATCTTCTATCTGATGCGTGCCCCTGCGTTAATCAGTTTTCTTCTCTTCAGGATCCTTTTCACCAACATCCTCCTCCTCCTCCTCCTTGTCTTCAGGACCTTCCAGTTCAGCGGTGCGTTGCCTCTCCTCCTCCTCTTCCTCCTCCTCGTCAGTTAGCCCCTCCCTTTTGAGCGCATCAGCGTCTTCCAAACCATCATCGGACTCGGCTGTGCAGATGCCGTAGCACATCAAGCTAATTACACCGAGCGGGAGGCCAAAAAGGAAGCAGCCCAGCAGCGGAGAGCTACGAAACACAGACTGATGTAGACGGGGAGGCAACGGAAGATGAAAGGAAAACAACAAAAAAAGGAAAGTGTGAAGAAGGAAAATTTAAGAAAGATGCAGATGGATTGAAAAAAAGAGAAGAAAACAAAGATTAATCAATTGTCACCATATTAAAAACACAAAATGGCTTTTTATGCAAGTTTGAACACACAGCAGTAAAAATCAATGAATCGTCTGCATAAATTAACATTCACTTAGAATCCCTTCTTTAAACTTTTTTTTTTTTGTTAATTAAATCTGGATTACAAAAATGCAAAACAAAAACAAATAATTAAGACTTGCAGGAATCCAGATCTCCAAATGGATTAAATTTACAACAAATATGCTTTTTCATGGTTCCTTTGATGATCTTTTCGTTACAAACTGAACACCAAGCTTAAAGTGAACAATGTGCCCATCAAGGTCTTGTTAAAATATTTCATTTGTTTCTCATTGCTCGTTTTTAAAGTTGGTTTTTATATTAAATACACTTTGGTTTGGAGCTTTAAATGGAGACAAACATGGGATCAAGGGCCTTTTAGAAATCCATCACATATTACGATGCAACTGTTCTAAAGCTGGGCGATATCTTAATATTTTAAAAATATCAAGATAATTTCATACACATAAGACAGGATTATCATCTATATCAATATTTCTACGTTGAGTTATAATTAGACTTGAAAATCTGTTTAGTTCTTTTTCTCCTGCCTGTGCTCAACTTTAATATACTTTAAAAATATTGAGATATTAATTTTGGTCCCTATCGCCCAGTCCTATTTCCGACCGATCATATGCTGTAAGTGAACATTTTGACTGGATAGGATTGTGTAATATTTAATAATAATTTACCAATTTGATAGCTAGATACAGAATGAGCTCCGTTACCACCAGTTGGCAACCACTGCAGTAAAGCATTAATAGTGTCTGAGAACTCAATCGAATCCTTTCCGCATCCGTAACCCTCTTTAACCTGTATTCCAAAACAGCAACAACCCAATGGCACTTTTGGATCATTAAAATATAAGCTAACAAATCAATAGGTAATGCTGCAAGGTGCATTTTATATACAGTCTACAATGACTCTGGAGAGACTGCAAAGGACAAAACAATCCACCCACACGAAGACGATGTCAGGACAAACCAATACAAGAACAAAATGTCATATTGTATCTGATTATGTTTCTAGCCAAACCAAGTGCTAACAAGAATAGTGGTTTGTCTGAGGGCCTTTGGGTGAAATATAATGGAGCTGCCAAGCATGGTTTGAGATGTGCACTATCCATGATAAGTCTTTAGGAGAGAACAGGATGCATACATCAACAGTGTCCAAGAGAAAATAGGGGTCAATAGGCCCCTGCAGCTTAGTTGTCTTTTCTACTGGTGGACCAATCAAGCTCTAGTCTGATTTCTTAGATCTGTTTTCAGATTCAAAACAAATGCACCAGCATTTTCTTAGTGTAGTTGCGCTGTTCTGGAGTGAGTCGCTGTTTAATAAAAGCATCACGCATCTTTTAAAAAGCCAGTATTTACAGATCAAAACATTGCTGTTGAAAAGTCACATGTAGGCTTTTATGCTTTTAATAAAAAAATAAAAAATAAAAACACTATTTATTCATTTGCACTGTGCTTAGAAGGCAGGTCACAAAAGGATTGCTGAAACTCACACAGCCTGTAATGTTTTAGTAATACCGGTAATTAGATGTCATGTCATTTTATGTTTGCAATAAGACGAAGAGTTTTCTGCACTGCTTTTTCATTTTACACCGGAGTTCAGGAGTCTAACCACTTTTGTCTGCTTTCTTTAAATACGTTACTGTTCTGTGTAGAAACTGAGATGAATTAATATTTCTCAAACTTCAAACACAAACACTGCTCCAACTTTTATGCTAGTCTGCCTGAAGACAGTGTCAAAGAGTCCTGACGGTTTAGACAACATAATAAAATACTAGATATACAAAGTTAGGGAAAATATTTAAAATGTCTCCAGATCTACACAGAGAATTGTTATATTGGTTGTTACAAGTTATTTAATCCAACAATCAGTTTAGATGGACTAGAAGCAGCAAGAGGAAATAATACATTAAATATGGGTAACATTCTATACCATACCATTTTATTTATAGAGCACTTAAAACAGCTACAAGGCCAACCAAAGGGCTGTACAGACAGAACAACAGACAAAACACAAAGCAATATACAAAATGAGGTAAATCAGAATATAAACATAAAAACGATGCAGATAATAAATATGACGACAAACCAGTGTGGAGCGTACAGGTTCAAAACACAGATCCTCTGGTGTTGAAAGCTACTGAATAGTAGTGAGTTTTTAAATGGGATTTGAAAACCGAGAGGGAGGGGGCCTGTCTGACAAGCAGAGGTAACTCATTCCAAAGTCTTGGTCCTGCTACAGAAAAGGCCCTGTCACCTCTGCACTTAAGACGAGTTCCTGGAACTGTGAGGAGCAACTAGTCCGTTGACCTCAGGGAACGTGGTCGGACATACGGCTGTAGCAAATCAGAGAGATAGTCGGGGGTGAAACTGTTCAGCGATTTGTAGACATACAGGAGTATTTTGAACTGGATTTGAAGGTGAACCGGTAGCCAGTGCAGGGAGGCCAAAACTGGTGTAATGTGCTCTCTTTTACCTGTACTGGTTAAAAATAAGACTGCTGCATTCTGAACCAGTTGTAGTTGTGCAATGGAGGTCTGACTGATGCCAAACAGGAGCAAATTGCACTAATCAAGCTTAGATGTAATGAATGCATGTATTACTGTCTCCAGGTTATTTTTGGACAATATGGGCTTCAGTTTAGACAGCCGCCTCAGTTGGAAAAAACATGATTTAACAATCATGTTTACACGTTTGCCTCCAGGCAGGCAGGGGAGGAGCCCAGCCGAGGTAAACAGGCGCGTTCGCCAACAGCGGGGGAAGGGGGGGGGTCCAGAGGTACGCTCGTATTGGTCCAAATAAATGACATCGGCAGCAGAAAATCAAAGATCCAGAAGCTGTTGTCGGTCATACACCAGCAGCGAGTTTATGTCCCAGATAAAAAACGAACAAAACACAAATAATCCGAACACCATCAGCAGAGGTGGATTGCAAGCCATGTACATGGGCGCCATCTTACCGGAAGTAACTTAAGTACTTCCAGTACTTCAAACATAAGAGCACAACTAACATGACGCCACCTGTCAATCAATCCAGTATGCTCGGCAGCAACCAACCAATCGGCGAATGCAATTTGTCTCAAAGTGAAATGTCCCTTACCTGCAGAAGCTGCACCCCCTTTCCCTCTGACAACATTGTCGGGGTTTTGCATTACAAATGTTTTGTTGTCAAAGTGATTTTGTAAAAAAACAATGGAAAAAAAATAAACGTCAGTGGGGAGCATGCAATGTTTAGAGGGTGAAGTATAGTTTATTCCAGTTCTAAAACCTAAACAGAGTCTGGAAAAATGTAAAAGATGGATAAAGGCTGACCTTATGAGCAGCTGAATACAACAGTGATAAACAGCAAGTACCACATGTTCATCTGCACGAAGGTAACTGCAAGTAAATACTCCATTTTTAGTCACAATTACATTGTACGCGTAATGGTTAAATTAAAGGTTAGTGCTTAAAGCTAACTGCGCTTTGTTTTGTATGTTTGTATGTTACTATGTCGTAACTTCTGGTTGCACAAGTTTAGTTTTAGTTTGATCAGTTAAAACTAAACCAATTTTGCACAAAGCGTTGAGTAGGTTGTGTAATGTCAAATTTACGCTCTTAGTACAAACTGAATTTCACTGTAAATTATTGCCCTGTGTTTCTCTGCAGCATGAAAACATCTACTGCAGTAACTATTTAAAGTTATTAGTATCTCTGATTTATTTATTTATTTTTTGCCCTTCTTCTTTGCCTTAATGTTGGCTGATAAGGCAGAAACGCCTGACTAAATGCCTCAGGTAACGCCATGAGCTGCACTCTCAGCCATTACAGCTATCTTTGTTTGTCAGATGTTAGCTCACCCTGGGTTACATTTCCACGTGGGCGGGGAAATCTTACTGTTCACGTCATGTCAATTCTGTGGAAACTATTTTAACTATTCATAAAATCTTCAGTTTGCCTTCTGATGCCAGACCTTGTGCAGACCTTTAAAGTGGTCTTCACCAATAATTGTATACTTTCTGAAGGTCTTTCAAATTATTTCCATGTACTTTGGCTGCTTTTTGTCTTTATGTCCAATTTGTGTATCCCACTATCAGCACATTTTGCAAAACAGAACAAATGGAGGACAAAAGAAAAAGTGTCAGTTTAAAAGAAAACATTTCCAGTGTGTGAATTTTATCCAATAGTTACATGTTCAGGAACAGGAATAAATCCAACAAAAACTCAGCACAGGACCTGAGAGATGCACCAGTCAACAGTTGTACAAGTCTTTGTCATCCACTGAGCAGAGAAAAACATCCCAGCTATCGCCAGTCATCATCAGTGGAAGAAGAATGCTACAGATGCTAGATGAAGTCTGAATGGATATGATGTGCTTGTGGAAGACTGACTTTTTGGGCCTAATGCTGTTGTTACCTTATAATCCTGTCAGAGATTAAGATTTGTACTGTGAGGACAACATGACACCTGATCACAGTTTCCTTTTTATCCATTCATCTAAATGTAAGAATCTAGTCAACATGATGTTTGACATCACTAATTTAGAAAAGTTTTAGTGGGTTATAATAGTAATTTAAGCCAAGTAATTTTTTACTTTTGAGCAGATTTCACTGAGTCCCACATTAAAAAATTTATAATTTTTTTGAAAGAGCTTTGTATTCTTTTGTGTCCATTTATATTTATAGAACATGATCTTTCACTTAGGGCAGCACGGTGGCGCAGTTGTTAGAGCCACCGGCTCTCAGTGAGCAGGTCGTCCTGGTTCAAATCCCAGCCGGGGAACTTTGTGGGTGGAGTTTGCATGTTGTTTCTGTGCATGCATGGGTTTTCTACGGGTACTCCAGTTTCCTCCCACCGTCTTACTGTCTCCTCCCACTGTCTCCCAACTGTCTTATACTGCCATCCGGTAGTCAAAAAAAAGGTACTACATGCAAAACAAATTAACCAACATTTCTTCTTAAATTTGACAATTATTATTTATTGTCAAATTTCAAACAATATTATCGTTTATCGCAATAATTTCTGAGACAATTAATCGCCCAGCAAAATTTGTTATTGTGACAGGCCTACTTGCAACCTGACCTGTACACCTTGGACAGTTCGCAAGTCCCTGTGATGGATTTGTGACCTGTCCAGGGTGTACCCCGCCTCTCACACAGCGATGGCTAGACATGGGCACCAGTGACTCCCCATGACCCAAAAAGGAAGAAGCAGGTAAAGATAATGGATGGATCTTTCATTTAGAAAATAAAGCTTCAAAGCTTCAGAAAACATTCACTTTTGGGGGTGATATTAAACTTTAATTATTAGTAAATTTTTGTGCCAAGTGCAAAGCACTCCTATCACAACTTTGCTCAAATAAATACTAGTTTTCCTAACAGAAAAAAAAACAAAAAACAAAAAAAAAAACTTAAGAGCAAAAATGGGAGGAGAACAAAGTTCAGCTTCCAAACCCTCTCCTGTCACACCACTCCATCTCCCCGTTCTCTGAAGCTTGTTTCTTTCTTCACATTTTGTGTTTACGGCACTGCATATTCTCTGCTGTATACCCAGTTTTCTCCTCTAAATAGTGTTTGTAAAAGATAAAGTGCTAAGCCATTGGTTAGCAATGCCACAAAACCTAAAGTGGAGTGCTAACGCCCTTCTTACATAAATAGTCAAGGTGAGGAAGGGCTAATTTATTATTCTTAAGTATTGCCCTTTATGTGGTCAATTAATTTATAATCACATATGCTGTAATATAGAGGTCAAACATTGGATTTAGGTTTGGTCCAAAAAAAAACAAAAAAACTTTTAAATCCGCCTTTGCTTAGAAAATATTTCCTGACTGTTTGCATGTAGTAGACCGTACAGACCTCTCGAGATCTTACCATTATGGTGGACCTGGCATCAAAGGCCACTCGTTTGACCCTCTGAATGAAACCATCACCTCCATATGCCTGTAGGAAAACAGGACAGTGATGATTAGATTTACATCATTTTAAGATCTGGTAAGGACTAGATCAGGGCTATTCAACTAAACTGCTCAGAGGACCACACTTACTGAAAGCCAGCAGCTCATGGGCTGGACATCCAGCAATTAATGTCATTATGTAAATAAACCAAGCATTACAATGATCTGTTACCTTTAAATTGTTTATTTTGCTCCACTGAATCATAAGCGCAATAAACAGAACCCAAAAAATGTAATTCAAAGAAATTACATTTCAGATTTATTTCCTCACAATAGTGATATTCAAATGTGAAACAACATTAAAAACAAAAATGACACACCATGCCTCCTATTTAACAAATATTATTCTGCCATCTCTGACTGCTCAAATCTTTGTACCCTGAATGACAGACATGTTGCTGTTGGGTCCATTAAGAACCAATTCTCATTTACAATGAAATGGCTGCACAGACCAGTTCTTCCTCAAACAATTCATAACTCACAGGTGAAGTGACCACGTCCTGCTCAGGTGTGAGCTTTGAGCAGAACCAACAAAGGCACGGCAGAACTCAGCTGGGCTGAAAGTGAGCATGATGCATGTGCAACATCTGTCTTGTGTCATTTACCATAATGAATTAACTAATTAAATCAATCATATTTGTGGTTAACTATTTTTTAAACTAACTACAAAGCTGCTGTGTGTCCTCATCCACATGATCCCAGTAATAAATCTGTGTGAGCTGCAAAGCATGCTGGGTAGCCTTGTGGAAAATATATGTGCAATGTTTCTGAGTGTGGAAATGGGTTGTTCTTGGTAATGTCCTGTTCAGGTTCATGTTGAAATCCGTGTTATTAAACACGTAAATTGACATCATGAGTCAGAGGTCGTTCCCGGTATGTATAAGGGGAAAAGCACTGAAGAATGAAGTCACAGGCTGATGCCTGGCCTTGTGTAAGTCGATGCTTATGGTGAGGAAGGGGCTCTCCTTAGAGCATACTTCTGTAAACTTGTGAAAATGTTGAAAGTTGAGATGGGCACATAATACGATTGCCTCGCTGAATGACATACAGTAGTCCCTCGTTTATCATGAAGGGTCCGTACCCTGAAGTCCCGCAATAAGTGAAAAACTGCAAGTAGGGATAGTAGTAAAAGTAGTTAGTAGTTTGAGTATTTTTCTAAAAGCATTTTAAACAGTTCCCACACTCTTGCAATATTCTAAACAATGTTTCTAAACTCTTAACGCTCTAAAAGAACACAGAATGTCATGATTTCAGTTCTGTGCCTCGACTGCTCTTTGCCACCTGCAAGTGCTCTTGGCCACGCCCACTTGGCCGCTCTGCATGGAGATCAGCTGATTAGCTGCAGGAAGAAGATTATCTTGCAATGTGGGCTGTACAAAGGTGCAGCAGGTGCTAAATAATTTAAAATAATTTTAAATAAAAATTCCATGACGATCGTGCGGCTCATCCATCAGTCAGCCAATTGTGTGTCATGTCCAATCTTTTTTTGAAAAACCGTGATAGAGCGAGTCCACGATAAGCGACCCATGAAGTAGAGAGGGACTACTGTACTTGCAATTTCAAATTTTTTAAAAGTCTCTCTCATGGATTTGTTCTGATTGTGTTTTCTACTTCTTCTCGTTTTACTAATAAACTCATCACAGGGCCAGACTTAAGTCCACTGCAGGCTGGAAGTGGCCCGTGGGCCGCCAGTTGAATAGCTCTGGACCAGATGATTTTGTATATCCTGTTAAGTCAAACTACAATTGAACAAGGGTGTAGTTGCATTTAAAAAACATGACTATGTTTATGCAATTCCAGTTGTTTTATCTGTTAATAAATGTTAATTTTGTAAGCAGAATTATGTACAATTAGCTGGAAATTTTCTATAAACAACAAAAAGTTAAAAGCATCTCAATTTACAAAGTATAGAGACTGAAAAATGTACGTTTTGTCGCCAGTCATGTACTCAATGGCTACCAAATACCCTAAAAATGTATTTCTCTGCATAAACTTGTTTGATATAGGCAACTCTAGTTTGCACACTAGCCAGCAGCTCTGCTCCATCTGAGCTCATTAGTTAGCTAAAGCACCTGAAAAGCAAATGAGTGATTAGTCTGACACTAATTCATCAGGATGTCCAGGTAATTAGCTCTGTGAACAAGCTGAAGGTGGGCATACGATTCTTGTGGAAGCAGCTGTTGTAAACCAATCTTAGCCAGCATGAGGCTAAAATAGAAAGTTGAAGTATTTTACACTCATTTTTAGAGCATGTTGGATTCCTTTTTTCTTTGCTGAAAATGGCAAAACGATAGAAAACCATTAAAGTTTGTGTGCCACAATAGCAGGGAGTAGGTCTATACTTAAAAGAAAAATTCTACAGCTGAAAAAAAATGCACTTCTAGAGAGTTCAGACGTTCAACTCTGCCCTCACACAAAGAAAAAACTCACCATTTGTATTCCACGCTTCACAATTTACAGGTTTTATTCGAAAAGTGCCCAAAAATACCCCCCATTCGTAGGGAAAGAAAATATGCTCTCCACATTCTACAACACCCTTGAAATCCACAGTGACTACAGTAGCATACTTTCCAACCATTAGTCTGTGTCCTTCTATATGAAACATGAACCGGCCCATTACGGTCATGATGGTAAAAGGCTAAATTGTCCAGGCTTCAGGCTGAAACTGGACAGCAGAAACTTTGAGGTTTCTGCTACTATTTATTTGGTGGGAGTTGGTTTGTTTTACTAAGTAAAAAAATAACTGATTTTCCTGGAAACAGAGAAAAATTAGAGGACCTCTGACTGCTTGACTTATGGGTTCATACATCTGGTGACTTGGGTGTAGAGCAGGAAAAACAGATTTCTTTGCCACGTTTGTGCACACCTTACAACACAGTGCCGTGTAGTAATCTCAGTGTTTGATTTAAAAGAGAATTCTTGTAGATAATCTGTCAGAATAAAACAACAAAACGTAATATAAGCATGTAAAAGGAGATTGCAAAAATAATTCTGCTGGTGTGGATATTTTCTTAGGAGGGCTTACAATGCAAGACAGCATGCCTGATTAATGAAGAATACTGGTGTGATTACAATGGTGCAACACAAGGGGAGGTGGGGGCGGGGGGGGGGGGAATGAGCCATTCTGATCTGAATGCATAAACAGAAAGCGGGAAAGGGAGACAAGGAAGGCGGAGAGGTGTGGATTCTGACCTGTGCAGAACCGTTCAAAACACTGTTGATGAATTGAACCAGCTGCTCCATGCTCTCAATCGGCTCACTGGGCAGGAAGTACTGCTCGTTGGACGTGTTGAGGATGATTACAGAGGGCACGGCCACCTCGCTGAGGAGAAACAAAAAAACATGGCTTTTAATCTTCTTAACCTCTGTTCCACAGGGCGTTTTAATCAAAGAGAATCATTAGATGGGAGCAATTTGCAGCATATAATACAAGATGGATAAATAAGCACAAAATTAGATAAACAAAGCTTTTTCCACAAGGAGTTCTCTAACGTTTTATGGATTTTAATTAAAAGGAGAGACTTTTTTCCCCAAAGCAATGCAGACCATTCTTTTAGGAGTCGCGTTTACCATACTTGCCTCCGTAAACGTCACACCGCCATATAAGTCACATCAGTCCAAAAATGTCTAATAAAGTGGAAAAAAAAACATAAATATGTCTCTTCGCCGTATAAGTTGCCTCTATTATGCATCACCATTGACCACCCAGAAATGTGGGCTAGTGTTGTGGCAAAAATTGATTGGCTACCAAATGGCGGCCGCTGGAGCATGCACGCGAGGACTTTTAACAAGAATTTAACAAGATTAGCACTTAAAAACAATTATCTGTTTGCTCGAAATTATAGCAAAGGTGCGTCTCAGCTTAACTTTTACTTAATAAATGCACTTTTACGGTCAAATCAGATGCATTTTAAAAGTCAATTCGCGGCTGTGGGAGCGCCCAGACGGAGGACTCGCTGTGCATTTCTTTGAAATTTAACAAGATAACCACCTAAAAACAATTATTTGTTTGCTTGACATTATAGAAAAGGTGTGTCTCAGTTGAACTTTCCCTTAATAAATGCACTTTAATGGTCAAATCAGCTGCATTTCGCCTGGGCAGCACAGTGAAATGCAGCTGATTTGACATTTGCTCCAGGAGCTCCGGAGCGAGTGGAAGGTGGTTTGGTATGGCAAGCCAAGTGTCTCATTAATGGCCACTTTAACCTATTCATGAAACACTTGGCTTGCCATAATACTCGAGCGCCCTCTAGTTGCTGCAAATGGTAGTGTTCAATATTTTCCATGTCAAAATGAATTAAATCATCAGATCTCAGCCAAAAATCGGGTTATAAATATGGGGGGGAAACATAAATAAGTCGCTTCACTGTATAAGTCGCATGACTTGCTAATTTATGAAAAAAGGTACAACTTATACAGCGAAAAGTACAGTACTTCTAATTAACAGGATATGATGTTTTTAAGAGGGGTAGTTTGGAAAGGTTATGAACAGTTCAACTATTTTCAGTCAGGTCATCTGGACAGATGACCTGACTGAAAATTGTTGGATTGTATACCTGGATTATTGAGCATGGACTTTGTTGGTTATGAACAGTTATCTTAGCTGTTGTAAACAGCTCTTCAAAATGGCCTCAGTTTGGGGAAATAAAATTCAATTTTGACTAGACTGATAATCTAATGGTTAGCCTAAGCAGGGCCAAGTCCAAAGAAGAGTTCTGCCATCATAAAACAAATTATACTTTCAAAGTTTCATAGTGTTTTATGTATATGCTATTTTGTAAACCATTGCTGTTAATTTTACATTACAGTTATTTCAGCTGAAATGTGATATCCTGCAGGAAGTGCCTCAAGGCTGCATCTAGCTGCTGCTGCGTTTTACACTGGTAAATACACAGTATAATATAAACGCATACTTGTGTAAAATCACACACATAAAAAAAATCTATTGTACTTTACACTACAAAACCTAAATTTTAAATATTTAAAATGCCTGCAGAAATTTGGTAATGTTTTAAGGCCATTTGTCCTATTAGTTCTAACGTGCTCAAAAATCATGCTAAAAGATGTGCAGCTCTGTAAATCACAACAGAAGACATTTTGGAAACAAGTTACATTTGTAATTTGGTAAAGTTAAGTATTAAAAGAAAAATTGAAGTAAAATATAATAATTGTATAGACCTTTTGATAAAACTCCACTTTAGAAGATCTGAACGTCAGATTTAATGTAAAAAAAGTGGAAAACTACAAGTCTGGGTCTGTGTTCTTCAGTTTCCTTTACAAACTATTCCCACATTAATTTACTAAAACAGAATTACAAAGAATGCAGAACAAAGTCACTGCACTCATGCTGAGACAAAGACGCGAGCCCCACAGTCCACTCATCTTCAATTTAGTAGAGGACTCAAACAGTAACCTTCACTTTACACTCCTGAGCTTGCTAAGCTCCACAAATCGGCAAAGGAATTATAAATCTTAGCGAGATAAGGAATAAGGTCATAAAACAACTAATCCCTCCTCCACACATCTTGTGCAACACCAAAGCTAAGCTTAGATAAGGTGTCCTGGTGCTTAGATATATGTGAACACACACACAAACAGTCCATCACTGCGCTGCCATTTCCCATCCCCGCGGTGATACGCAGCCTGGCAACAAATTGCACACATGCACAAACATATCCATCAACGTCCCAATCCTTCACCCAGCTGGGATCAGGAGTGCAAACACACACGCCTGTGTGGTAGAGTCATCAACGCTTCACGACTCTGTCCAGCTGAGATCAGCAATCATGTGTTAACACTAAACACACACACACATGCATGCATGCATGCGCACATAATAAATGCATATTTTCATCTAACATCAAGGCTACTCCAACAGATGGCAGATATTTAAAGTAAAACTTGATTAGTCTTTAAGTGGGACTACTGGGGAGGTTGGGACCATGACGAAGGGACATACTTTGTAATATTATAATCATTTTATTTTTACTACATAAAACAGGTGCCATATTCAAATCATACAAATTACATTTGATTATTGTCATTATGAAAGGAATGGGGTTGACTAGTAATAACAATTTGGTTACTTAAAAGTTGGTTAAAGAAGTCTTGCTGAAATTCAAAAGTTTTTCTTTAGAGAGGAACTGGCCTACAGTTTAACATATTAGAACTGGAAGTGTGCACAGAAAATTGTTCTATCCAGCCATCACTGTGCGAGAGGCGAGGTACACCCTGGACAGGTCTCCAGTCCATCACAAGGACATATAGAAACAAACAACCATTCATTCTCTCACTCACACCTAGAGACAATTTAGAGTTACCAACCAGACTAACATGCATGTTTTTGGTCTGTGGGAGGAAACCAGAGTACCCAGAAAAAACCCACACATGCACGGAGAAAACATGCAAACTCCACCCAGAAAGGCCCCCGGACCGGGATTTGAACCGAGGCAACCTGCTTGCTGAGAGGCAGCAGCTCCACCAGTTGTGCCACCGTGCTGCCCGGGCTCTAGTTATTATAGTAAAAAATATTCAACTTGATATTACCGGCAATACCAAGAGAAATATTAGATGCTATTTTTGATACCAAACAGTGAAAAATGGGATTAACAGAGAAACATTTGAATTTACTTAGAACAACAAACTTTACTATTTTGTCATGTAAACTGTATTTAAAAAAGAGGCTATTTGCAGAAAAAAATGTCCAGATTACCGGTAAATGTTAAGCCACTCATTTGGAATAAAACAACAGTTGGTATTTCTGTTTAAAGCAGTGATTTCTAAAGTTTGGGTCAAGTTCCAACTTTTATGTTTTCTAAGCTTGGTTAGCTGTGGCAGCCATCTTGAATCAGGTTGACATTAAAGTAGATTCAATACTTACAGGTCCTTCTCAAAAAATTAGCATATTGTGATAAAGGTAATTATTTTCCATAATGTAATGATAAAAATGAAACTTTCATATATTTCAGATTCATTGCACAACAACTGAAATATTTCAGGTCTTTAATTGTTTTAATACCGATGATTATGGCATACAGTTCATGAAAACCCAAAATGCCTGTCCCAAAAAATTAGCATATTTCATCCCACCAATGAAAGACAAGTGTTTTTAATACAAAAAACGCCAACCTTCAAATAATCATGTTCAGTTATGCACTCAATACTTGGTCGGGAATCCTTTTGCATGAATGACTGCTTCAATGCGGCGTGGCATGGAGGCAATCAGCCTGTGGCACTGCTGAGGTGTTATGGAGGCCCAGGATGCTTCGATAGCGGCCTTAAGCTCATCCAGAGTGTTGGGTCTTGCGTCTCTCAACTTTCTCTTCACAATATCCCACAGGTTCTCTATGGGGTTCAGGTCAGGAGAGTTGGCAGGCCAATTGAGCACAGTAATACCATGGTCAGTAAACCATTTACCAGTGGTTTTGGCACTGTGAGCAGGTGCCAGGTCGTGCTGAAAAATGAAATCTTCATCTCCATAAAGCTTTTCAGCAGATGGAAGCATGAAGTGCTCCAAAATCTCCTGATAGCTAGCTGCATTGACCCTGC